AGGGGGGGGGGGTGGGGGGGGGGGGGGGGGGGGGGGGGGGGGGGGGGTGGACCACCACCCCCCCCCCCCCCTTCGATTTCAGAAAAAAAAAAATCAATGTTCCCTTCTTGAAATTTGAATCTTGACTAGCTGAATCATACAGTTCTAAACTGTACCAAATAGCACCGTCCGCCCTCTACCAATTTTTTCGGGGCCCTTCAGCGGGTCCCGAACCCCTCGCCAAGGGAGGGGTTGGCTTCGCATCGGCGCCCCCCTTCAAATATTCCTGGATCCGCCCTTGCATATAGGTAGCTTAGTATGCATATATATATATCGTTGATAAAGCTGTATCACCCCATAACAAAAATTACACGGGTACAGGATACAGGAGAGAGAGAAGGGGGGGGGGGGGGCTAGTCCCGGCATAAGCATGGCGAACATGACATTATCATTTTACAAAATATTGCTAAGAAGGAACACAACTTGCTAAATATTCAAATAAATCTCAAAAATAAAATTGGAAGCGGTTGCTTCCATTACCTCACTTATGTAAAATGTAACAACCCTTTCCACTGCACAATGTGCTGTGTTTGTTAAAACACTGGGCAGCTAAACACCGCAAATGTGAACATTTATAAGTCATATTGATTTCGATTTCAACCTTCCTTTTCACCTTACAAAGTATACTAGCAAATCTTAAGTAAAAATGGGTGAATCTCACACGATCGAGTCCCAGCCTGTTTACCTGCTTTGATATCTGTCAAAACAGCTGATAAATAATTGTGTTCTTAGAAGGTGACACATTTATCAGCTGTGCACGGATAGTGTCCCTACAAAGCATTTAGGTTATTTTATTAAAAAGCTGACATCGAGACGTTTATGCTTACTTGGTTTCGTTAAATAGAACACCCTAGTAAATGTCGTAATGAGTCTGTGTTCATTATTTGACTGCCCTACAATTTAGGAAATGTGACACCACCAAGACGTCAAAAAGTCACTTGTCTTGTGGTCTAAATTGTAACATATGTGCATTTCTGCTATAATTACCGAACGGAGCAACCAACAGAAAGGGATGACAAAGTAATATGAACATATATTTCGCACTCACACACGCACTTGATAGGTCCTTAATTGTGTTGGGCTAATAGATCGTGTCCCAGACTGTTTACCTTCTTTGATATCGGTCAAAACAGCTGATGAATAATTGTGTTCTTGGAAGGTGTCACATTTATCAGCTGTGCATGGATAGTACCTCTACAAAACATTTCAGTAATTCTATTAAAGCAGCTGACATCGAGACGTGTATGCCTTGGTAGCCCGTATACAACAGCTTGCAGTCAGTTATAAATGTGAACCTCTCTCTCTGTCCTCCTCCACCCCCCCCCCCCCCCACTCTGCCACTCTCTCTTTTGTGATGACTCAATTGTTACGCTTTACAATTTACGCGATCGACATCGATATGGGCAAGGTATGCTTGCCATTGTTGTTCCGAATAACGACAAACAGCAAGTTATTTTTAAACCTTCCTGGAAGGGACAAATGATACCAACGCGGCGTCTAAAATCCGGGGGGTGATCGACGCAATGCTTTATGTGTCGCTTGTTCATGCAGAATATGGACGCTTAATCCCCCTCGCCCCCCTTCCTCGACTCTATCCGGGAGAAAAAGCAGACGCAGATGATCTCAAGATTCGAATGATTTTTTTCATAGGACTTCCATCTGATGGACTTTTTATACTAATCATATTTTATTTATTTTTGGTGGGCACGTAGACCAATCTGCAAATTAATACGTAAAGTAAATGTTAACCCTGCACAAAGTACATACAAAGCACACAAGCCCCTATTGCCTCATGTGCGAACATGTTACCTTGTTGTTGTACGTTTATTTAGGTGACTGGATGGTATTGAATGGTAGGTGACCCTTTTTTTTTCAGGGAAGGCGGGTTTGATTTGGTGGTACGGCGACGTGCCGTTTTTTGCTACTGTATAACAGTACGCCAAACCTGGAATATTGTATTGCGTCCATTTGGTCAAGTTTCGACATGTGTACTGAAGCTCCTGGCCCCCCCCCCCCTCGCGCACAAGGACACAAACTGATCACATCAAGATGGAGCCCATGCTCAGTACGTGTAATAAAGAGCACATCTATAGAATATTTTTCTCATTTTTAATCTGCTGAAAAAAATATGTTGAAAGAATTCCATCAATCATAGGAGGTATCAGTATGAACATATTCATGAAATTTACGTACACCATTACGATAATTTTAGCGACAATAGAAAAACCAATCTGATCGGTTTTTCCATTGTCGCTAAAAATAGCAACAAAACCCCCGGCTGACTTTTAATAAAAATCAAGTAGAATTTCAGTGTATATGCGTTCGTTTCAATCTCTAACTAGGGACGTATCACACACGTACAGACACGCGTGTGCGCACACACTTTTTTTCGGGCAATCTGATGGTTTCTTCATATCATAAAACTCTTCTACTTCTTATCATCAAGAATTCTTCCTCTTACTAAGCAATACATTGTTTAGTCTAATATAGTATCTGTAAGTTTCATGTTTGGAATGTGTTCATGTAAACTAAACCCTACTATAACGCTTAAACTGGGGGAATAATTTGTAAACAATGGCACGAAAAAGCATGCCCATGTGCGCTACTGTATAAATACATTGATGTGGCCCGGCGTCAATCAGACAAGCGTGCGACCTACATATAGCCTACGGTCGCTGTATAGCATTTGGATTAAGTCAATATAACCCTACCACATGTACATATCCAGTATACACACACTACTGGGTCGGATAACATTCATATTATATACACTGACAATCGCGGATTTAGGCTGTCTTCTGGGTCTTCCGGAAGACGGTCAGATTTTCAAGTTTACATTGACGGGTATCTAATTTTTTCTGTCGGAAGACGGTCAAAAATGGTGGATGGAACAACAAAATGAATTTGGAAGACTGTCAGAAAATATCTCTGGATCCGCCCCTGACTGAAAACAGTAGAAGGACAGTGCGATCGCGAGTTAGCGACTGCTGTCACTTGGCAGTGTCCTCATATTTATATCAGTAGGCCTATTCGTACTTACATGTACGTGTACTTAAACTTGGCTACAGATGTGTAAGACCGGTCTTCTGTACACCCACTTCTACAGCAACCATCACCACATCAAAAGAGGAGACCAGACGCTAGCGTTGAAATATTTCATGGCGATAAGCTCGGAATCCTGGCTGTTAATGCGGGGTAAGTGTTCGGTGCGAGGGTCTGGTATTTCCAACCAACCCACTCAGTTGAAATCAGTTTGAGCATGCGTTGTTCAGTATAATTGGTTGAAATGGGGATTTTTTTTACGTTGGGAAGACATTAACAGTAGCCCATATTCTATATGCCCAACTTACGTTGCAATAGCAGTTACAATTAGTTTTGAGAAATATTGTGTAGATGATAAAAAAGAGCGGAATATATGATATAAATTTTATAAATTTAATCACCACTACTACAACTCTTCATGGCGTCTCTCGATCTCTACCCAGCCGTGGTCTAACTGAACGCGCTTTGGAGATTACCCGGTAAACAAAAAAGGTATAGCCAGGTTTAACTTGGGATTTACTAATAAAAAAGGTAAAAATCAAATATTCATGTTAATAGATTGCAGTGACTAGGAGCTTAATTAAATTATTATCTTGCTAGAAATATAAATCAATAGGGACAGGCCTCTAATTTAGACAATGAGTTTGACGCATATTCAATCCAAATAATAACAGTAGGGCCTAATAGTAGGCCTAAATCAGGATTTGGCATTGATGACATTGATATGATTGATAAAAATCATATACCCCCACAGTCAGTATTTAAGACGCCCCCTTCCCTCTTTTTTACATTTCGTGGAATTGGATTTTTCTGATATCTAGATGTAGGCCTATAAAATTTTTCCTCGTCAGAGTAGGCAAAATGGGGATTCCCAAGACATCAGAAGCGCATGCGCGTGTATAAAAATAGCAACACTGGAAATTTTGCTAAGGGGTAATAGGAAGTGTGAAAGAAAAAGCGCCATTGGTCTCTTATATGGACGAATTCGTCTTAGAAAGAGAGGTAATTCCATGTCAAGTGTAAGGTGTTGAATTGTTTTGTTGTGGATCGACTATCGACGCAAGGCTAAATCCTAGAAATTATCTCGAAAGATCTTGAAAGTGGCTCGGGCCTACAAATAGGTCAGTAGCTCTGTGAAGGTCGAATGCGCCTACTGATCAGGTGACTATCCGATCGTAATACAGAGTATATGGATCATAAATAACTCATGTCTTGTGCATGTTTTAAACGATTAAGCAATTTCATTTATTATATGTGTGTGTATGCTTGCTTGCTTGCTTGCTTGCTTACTGGACCCGTGCGTATAATTTTCCTTGCGGTTGTAGGCTATTTGTGCTTCAGGGATGGGGGAAAGGACATAATAAGGTAGGCCTATAGGCTTATCCTAGCTACATGTACCAGACTAGGGCAAATTAACCATAACGTGCGATAAGCCTGCTATTGTGAGTGTTAAATTGCATGGTTTAAGGCCTATCCACCAACCACACCCACAGGCTACGCCCCTGCTTCGCTTATTTATTTTATTATGGATAGGCCTAGGCTACTGGTAGCCTACTGGGTAGACCAATAGGGACCTATATTTGATGTTAAACTACAACATGCCTATTTACATTAATTTCAAGAAACATTCCATAAATGAGTGGTTTAGTATGCAATGAAAGAAGGGAGTTATTAAGAAAGCTATCGAGATGAATGATTAGTAGGCCTAATTCACTGGTGGCTCCGTGACTTTTCAAAAATCAACAGACGAGGTCAGATTAATTGTATTATGAACTGGGTAGGGCCTATATGTGGGTACAGCTACGGTATTATTGTATGGTTCTGTCCCCTTTATACATTTGTAAGGGAGGGGTACTCCCAAAGCTAGGGGGAGGGGAGGGGGGACTCCCAAAACCAAATGACTGTGCAGTGCACAATCCAGCTGGATACTGGTAAATGGTGTCTTCATAAAATTAATTTTATAACCATGAATTATTTTTCTTGTTTTACATTATTTTGTGGATATAAAAGCTAGGCGACAAATTGTCGGGAAACTGTCAGATATTTTATTTACTTATTCAACACCTTTTTTTGTATTAATTCAAAGCTACACAACATAAATAAATAAATAATATGAAGTATATAGGCACAGGGATGTTGCATATTAAGCCTGTTGCTTTATTTTGTCCCCCACCCTGCAGCCCACAGCCCTGCTAATACAAATTTATTTTTATACTAAATTTTTTGTTATTATACACTGTAGGCCTACATGTACACTGGGTAGACCCATCTTGGATATAAAACTGACATGCTTTAATCATTTTCATGGTAAAAACGTGGCCAATAAATTGTGTAATGCAAGAGTTTTTAAATCAAGTTTGCTATAAAATGTTTGACTAACACTTCACTGGTGGCTCTAGAAGTTTGAAAAACAAATAGATGAGGAGAGATTAATTGTAACATGATAATGTGCCGGGTATGAACATAAGTGGGATGAGTGTATGTGTTTTTCTTGTGTATACTTTTTCGGCTGGGAGGGGATGGGACAAGGGGGGGGGGGCAAACAGCCGCCCTTGTGACTTTACGGTGCAAATTCAACTGAATAAATGACATGTCGTCATTAAAACTTCTTTCCCACCCATGACGTTTTTATATTGTTTTATTTTTTTGGGATGTATGTAAAAAAGTTAAAAGCAACGGTCGACAGAACTGACTATTTTGATTGTTTTGTGTGATAATCAACACCAGTTTTTATCAAAACTACATAAAATAATATTTTATAAGTCAAATTTAAAGTTGTCGAGGTAAATATTTTCATTTCAATTAATTGAATGAAACTGCGCCTAAAAGTCGGAATGTTCATTTTGTTTCAGAAGACGCTGACTTCCCATTATGGAAACAGCCTTAGCCTGTAAAGTGTGGAAAGAGCAAAGCGGCCCTAAAGCCAGTGGGAAGAAGGTTGCACAGGAGGACTTCAGGACACTTTGTCTTTATTTCGTTCTTAGTGACAAGGACGGGAAATGTGTATATATAGGACTGACGTGTACGGGGACAAGCAGCGACAGCACATGGGAAGAGGGCGACATCTGTCTCACTGGGAGTGCTAGCAATCCAACCAGAGTCGGCAACTGCCTTCACGTGCATGACGATGGCACGTGTAACTGGATCCTCATCGAGCTTAAAGAAACGTTCTTGAGAACATTAGGACAATATGACATACAAACAGTTCCCTTTTCTGAGGAATCGCCAACACAAGGTCGCCTCGCCATAAGAACTGCTTCCGATAAAGTTTCTTACGGAAATGCAGGCGAGACATACGGCTCCGATTGGTTTCAGGTGGTACCATCAGAGGGCCCCGGATTCACGAAAAGCGACAGCGGTTCCATTGTGTGGGCGGATACATCAGCCGTGACCGCCCACCTAAGTGGTGTGATTGGCTATCACTCTCGACAGAGCCCTGTTGTGAAATCCCAAACGGCTCTCGTCTCTGGACTCAGCCAGTTTCTTTTGAAGGAAGGCAAACAGATCGCCCAGCAATACGTCCTCATCCCACGCCCCAAACCTGGTGAGTAATGCCTTATTCCCATTGATAGTTAAAATGATTCATTTCGCCAGTAACAGGAAACTTTTAATCAGCAGTAGAAAAGATATAGGATCGGAAGCGTGCATTGTCAATATTCTCTGTTTTACACTAACACTCCTCAATGTATAGGTCCATTTGTAGAAAACAAAACAGTGAAAATTAAGTTAAATGAATATTTGCGAATTCTGTTTTTCCTAAACCTCTGGTGACAGAAGGTGACAACTCTGGGTTTTCAGATGTTTTATTGACGCATTTTAGCCATGTTTATTTCATTTTAATTATTAAAATATGTCAAACACTAGCTCATTTTTTATCAATTTAGCTGTCCCGGATAATCCATCTTATTACATGTACGCAGTTAGATGCCCAGAAGATGAGGCAAGTTTCTTTATTTTTATTGCTGATCACATTATGAAACCTCGTTTCCAATGCAACACCCTCATTAATTGCCCTGACGAGCTTCAGTATACACGGCAACAACTATATGTCCTCAAATGTCACATTTATTGTATGAAAACCTCGTTAAATATAAAATAAATGCTATTTTTTGTTTTTCTGTTTTGTGCTGATCGAGTTTATTTAATTTTCATGTCACAATCACATACGAATGAGGCTAACACATTTACGCATACAAACACACACACACACCTTGATGCTAGTGCACGCGTTAAAACACACACACACACACACACACACACACACACACACATCACTACGTGTTTAATGGGTATTCCTTTTTCAGTACAAAAACAACTCCAAGCCAAGGGGTCGTGCACTAATTATAAGTAACGAATGCTTTTCTGTGAAAGACCTTCCAAGACGGGATGGAACCAAAGTTGATGTAGTTGCCTTGAGGAAACTTCTTCGTTACCTTCAATATGATGTAGAAGTGATCAATAACCTAGAGGCAAATGTAAGTTCATCAGAATTAACAAAGTAATAACAATCTACCATACCTCCCTAATTGTACACATGCGTTTCGGTGATATATCGTCTTTTTTTAAAAAAAAACTATATATGCACAAACTGCTTTAACTTTATGATTTAGCAATCCATGATTCTCTCTCTCTCTCTCTCTCTCTCTCTCTCTCTCTCTCATTAACTTACCATGCCGTTCCACCTGTGTCATGACTGCCCTCGTTTCTTTTATTAACGAAGCAAATTAAAGAGGAAATAGAGCAAGAGAGTAAAAACGAAGATCACAGGAAATACGATTCCTTCATCCTGTTTCTACTGAGCCATGGTGACAATGGTGCTGTGTATGGTACAGATGGTTATCTTTTGCCCTACGACATGATCAAAAACATTTTGAATAACAAAAACTGTCCAGGCCTAAGGGGGAAACCGAAAATGATTTTTATTCAGGCTTGCCAGGGAAGTGAGTACAATGTGTATGGCTTTAAGATCAAGTGTAAGGCTGTGTAAGGCTATAATAATTATTGATTTTTACTTGTTTGTCATATGTAAATATATGGTATTTATTGAGAATATAAAACTTTTAGTGTTATAAAAGCACAAGACCATTAATATTAAAATGAATTTTTATATTATATCTCTGGCATTTAAAACAAACAAGGTTTGTTACAGTGGCTTCATTTCAATATAGCAGAATAAAATCACAACTTAACAAAGCTTGGTGCTCTGTAATATTACATATTTTTTATAGTAGTGTTAATAGCGCTTAACTACATGTATACAGCAAGTGAAACTACATGGCTAACAGTTTTACTAGTACACGATTCACTTGGTATTTTATGTAATATTCATTTATTTCTTTATTTTCCCAGAGACAAAGGATTCTGGGACATTACCTGACGTACAAGCAGGGCAACAACCGGAGCCACTGCCGCAGATCACTGATTCGGGGAATGATGTACCGGATGCACCGCATGAATTATCACAGCAATTCAATGATCCCACTATGTCGGATTTTCTCGTGGCACAGGCGACTTCACCAGGTACATGTACTTGATCGTGTCGCTTTTTAAAATGGGATGTTTGTATTTACCGTTGGATAACCTGAGCCACCGAAGGCAATTTCTAGCAATAAAGTTAATTTTACACTTTATGTGAAAAACGACAAGTGCAACGTTTTCTTTTTTGTTTGTTTTAGACTACGTATCGTGGCGAGACAAAGAAAAGGGGACATGGTTTGTTCAATCCATAGTAAAAATATTTACTGCTGAAGCATACAGATCGGACGTTTTGTCAATGTTACTGAAAGTAAGTATTAGAATTACATAAAGCGTAATGCTGCATTTAAGGTATGATAGATTCAATGAAACGCACATACAAACGAGCGCAGGCACACACCAACACACGTAGAGATAGAGATGGGAAGGAGAAGAAGCTAGAGATGAGAAATGTCTATGACCAAATTTTCAATGTTCTTTTGTCATATTTGTACGCCACTTTGATAACTATGCAGAGAAATATTGTCTTTTGGAACTTATATTACCCGCATTCGTTATAAAATGATTTGACTAATTTATCAGCATTGTTTCTTCAATGTTTTATCTTGCGAAGTCAATGTTAAAGCACCGCGGATTAAAACTGCATTTAACAGTGAAATTTTTATACATTTTTTTTATTCTGCTAGGTTAACAATGAGGTGTCGCAGATGTCAACTGTGCAGGGCAGAAAACAGGCTTCAGTGTTGGATTGCAGCTTACGAAAAAAGGTTTTCTTCAACGTATCTCGTAGTAAGTTTTACAAAAATATTTAGTGTCTGATTTATATTAATTATTCAAACACATCGGTTATGATATTCTGCCAACACTGTACATGCACATGGTGGTATGATTCATAATAAAATGTAACTTTCATTTAAGTTGCAGATACAGAGAGTGAACATGATGTATCCCATGATATTGAGAATTCACAGAGTCAGTCTTTCCGACCGCGTCACAATTTTCCACATATGCCATTCAATATTAGCCACCCAGAAAATACAGGTGTGCAATCATCAAATGTTTCCAGACCCCCTGGACCTGTCTTCCCATCCGCCATCTATCCAGAGGGCACCCACGGTAATCAACCATATTACAATAACATTGGTTATATGCCTCAAGGGCACCAGGGTTATCTCCAAGGATCAGCGCGCTTTCAGACCTCTCTGTCGTCGGTTCCTATCGGTGCCTTCCCAATGCAGTCCCCAGAATACGCTCCGGGGGTTCCCCATCAGTTGCAGGGAGCCATAGGTGGGCATCCATCGCAAATGATGTCCGCTACAGAAAAAGGTCAAACAAATACAACTCTAAACACCGGCTTCCTGTACCCGTACTTCCCGTACGCAACCAACCAACCCACGTATGCAGGTTACCAAACACACGGTGTCGGAAACGCCTCATTTGCTCAACTGTCGCAAACCGCGGCGATTACTCCGCCACAGAATCCTTGCACACCCCCGGTGAACACAAACCCTGGTGTTGCCCAGTCAAAGCCAGTTGGTTGTTTGCCTCAACAAATGCAATACCACGCCAGGCTCGCATATCTCGTCCAACATGAAGGTACACGTGTGTTTCGTAAGTTCTTCCTACGCGATATCGTCATTCCGAAACTAAAGAGCGTTGGTCAGTACAACTTGGGCGCTTCAGAAAACCAGACGTTGAATGTATTTCTTGCACTCTCCGATATAAAAAATTGTCTCACACTACTAAAGAAGCCAAAGGGAAAAGTTATGTTCCCTCAACAGTATGACCAATTGTATCCATCCAGTGGACAAGCAGATATAAAACGTTTTGATATTTCCCTCTTATTCATTTTAATAAGAAACCTCCACCCCAATGGAAAGAACTTAAGTTGGGTCTTAAAGCCTGGTCAAGCATCCCAAGGAGACATCGACCACATCATCAAGATAAGAGACATCAGAAATAACATCTTTCATGACGGAAAATTCGAGCTGGATGAGGCTAAGTTTGAAGACACGTGGAGAGATGCTTCCGGTGCAATTTTGTCGCTAGGTGGCAAACAAGACAAGATTGATTGGATCAAAATGAACAATTTCAACGAAGAGAAATTCAGACAATTGATCAAAAGCGTCACAGCTTCAGACCAGATTCTTCAAAAACTGGATGAAATATTAATGTTTCTTCGATCACACGACTTGGGATATTACGGGCAATGACAACATTAACGGTTGAAATTCCGTGTGCACGAGAATGGCACAAATTTATAAAAGCTATTGTATTAATGGCTGCATGACAGTCGGGTTTTCCGAACGTGCATTTTGTGTACACATCGAAGACATACATCGCTGCATACATATGCATATAATTACTTTAATTGATTTAATTGTTTGGGCTGAAAGTAAGGTAATGTAAATAGAAATCGCGATTTACCAACATTGTATAATGATAATAAAATGGGTATTAAGTAACGTGTAATATTTGAACGTATTTGAATGCCATATGATATTACCCTCTACCAGGGCCACAGATTGATTTTTTCACTAGATATTCGCAGTTGTATCTCTGGTTAATTCAAGTGTACTTGAATAATCCGCGGCAGAGGGTATTAATATATCAATATGTTGTGAAAGATGTATGCTGCTTTACATCATGATTTTGAACATGTATTAGTACAAATTAACTGGAGCTTTTGCGTTTAAGAAGTGGTGTATTTCTCTTCTCCGATACATTTAAAGACAGGAGATAAATGTCCACTTCCATAGTGCCGGTTGTGTCCTATGAAGCTGTTGTCAAGTTTTACTTCTGTTTATTAAAACAAAATTGAGTAGAATTCAGTAATGGATAATCATGATGGGGATATTTGTCCAATACTTTCCCCTATTAAGTACTGGTCATTATTTAAGTTGGATGGGGAGAGGGAGTGGAGGAGAAAATGGGAAGCCCTGACCTTTTTAAGCAAAAATAAGGGGGGTCTTTTTAAAAGCTACTTTGGTAACTTTAATGAATTCAAATTTTTTTCATCCTTCAAAGTAGTTTTCCTTAAATTTTTATTAGAATTTGCAATAATAATGAAGTGTTTTTAGCGTCTCATATTTACATTCCAATTTTTTTTTGTACAACCATTCAATTTTTACATGTAATTTTTATTAAAGTACCCGCATGAATGCAGTATTTTAACATACTTTTTAAGCCGTAATAGTGAACAATATAAATTTTACACGATTCTTATTGAAGGGGCTGACTTTTTCAATCAATCCGGAAGGGGGGTCGCGAAAAAAATTGAATGCTACAATATATAAGGGGGTCTCAAAATTTTTATCACGGGCATTTCCTCTTCCGCCCCCACCCCTTTCCGACTTAAATAATGACCTAACCCTTAGGGATGGGTCAAGCACCGAATTTAACTATACCTTGCTTGCAAGATGTTTCAGTATGATGTGGAGACAGGCAGGCAAAAGGTTGACTGTAGAGATGTCAAGAGAGTGAATGAGTGCGTTTGCACTTGTCCTTAGTGTGGGAGAGCTTTTAAATCAAAATAGATATCTATGAACATCAGAGATCATGCCGATTAAGAGAAATCACAACATGGTGCCCTTTTCGAGAAACTTTGGACCGAGGATAAGGCATCATAGCCAAATATTCTTTGTGTAGTGCACCTGTACTTGTAACAAACAAAGTGCACGTGTGAGATGATATTTTAATTAGACAGCAAATATTATTAGCTTGTGTTATACAAACAGCAACGTATGAGCGATTGTTACTAAGTATTATATAGCTTAATATGTTACTTGAGTTTTTAATAGATTGGCCTAGCAAATAGTGTTTTGGTACTTCGCAATTTTACTGTTTAATGGAGTTTTTGATTAAGAACTAAATTTCTAAAACAAGCGAAATTTGAAATGCATTTTTTGGTTAAAAAGACACTAAAGAATTTTTAGTGTCTTTTAAGTGACACTAATTTTTTTTAGTGTCTTTTAAATAATGATATATTATAATACATTTCCTTCGAAATATAAGTGTGGAGAATAAATTGTGGAAAGGCATTTTTTTCTGCATGTCTCTTTAGGCATCGATTTATATCAATTCTTACTATTGACTATTGGCGTCTCTTTGGGAAGTATATTACATCACGCAGGGTATTACCAGGCCTTCCAGGATGTGGTGCGGTCTAATGTTGAATATAAAACGTCAAACGTACGCACTTATTTACGCACATGTGCCTACTGTATATACATGTACGTATGGTCATCCCCTGCACCCGCTGCCGTTTTACCTAAAAAAACGCATGGTTTATTATCTGCAAACTTACTGGAGTGATTTGCAGGCGAAACGACATCTTTATTGGACCTTTATCTGAAAATTATTTAAGGAGTATTTTGTGAATAGTTCAATTTCACAAAATTATCTTTTCAGAGGGGTCCATTTGAACCCCCATGTGCCTGAGGCCCTGTGACAGCTACATTCCGAACGAATAAGATTTAATGAAAAAAGTCGCACTATTAGACCTTTATCTTAAAATTGTTTTAGCAGTATTTTGTGAATAGTTCAATTTCACAAAATTATCTTTTCGAAGGGGTCCATTTGAACCCTTATCTGCCTGAGGCCCTGTGACAGCTACATTCCAAAAGAGTTAGATATTAATAGACAAAGTCAATATATGCATTGTCGGTAAACTTCTGATGTCCCACATATCGAAAGCGTATATGTGCATGTCTAAAGTTAACACCTCTGTGGTCAACTTGCATTGAACCGTTGTAACGAAACTAAGGATCCGTGTAACGGAGAGTCTGCCCTCCATGTAGTTATTATGGTTAGGGTTAGCCTGACCTAAGTGGGTCAAAATCTAGGGCGAGGCTTACGCTGTACAAATGAATAGGAAGCGAACTCTCTGTCACGTTTCACCGGACGACAGAGTATATTATGAAAGAAAAGTGTTAATGCATGGTTATAATGGGTGTATTTTTCTTGGGATGTGAAGTAGATTTATGCTGATCAGCTTTTTGACATCTGACGATCGATGTCTAAATCGCTTCCATGTATTTCGAAATACTGTAGATGAATGATAAGACGCGAGTTGAGGTAGGCCCGTAATAAATGACGGCAATACAAATACAGTTTACCTGTAATATTACATGTGGCACAGGTAATACAGTGATACAGGTGGTTATGTATTTGTTCAACGATTCGAGATTTCATTTTCACTGCATTTGCCCAAATCAATGTCTCCCGAGGAGTCAAGTGAAGTAAAAAATATGGCGTCACCTGACATTTGTCAATATTTGTTTCGCAGGTGAACTGGGGGATTTTTCACGTCACAACAGCGCATGCGCGTGTCTTAAAATAGTGCATCTGGAATTTTCCAATCAAGACTGGTGTTAGACTACTGTGGTACTGCTTTGTGAAAGGTAGTAAAACTGCTTTCAAGGAAAGATGGGTTTACTGAGAGAGGAGAGGTAAATGCCAGCGCCGCGGCTTATGCGGTATGTAGTAAAGCAAATGACATACACTTTCGACAATTACAAAACAATTAATAGAGAATTAAATGTGTAGGAAGTTATTGAGTGCAAAGTAAATGTCTTAAAGTGTCAACAAGTGCAGAGACTGTTCTCGAAGTAAGAAAGTATGGAACGTTTCAGAGTTAGATATAGTTGGACTGATTGGTTAATTTTTCTATTGATTTGCACGTTTTAACACGTGTAAAACTCATGCATACTTGAGTTGGACAAGATCCAAGATGAGTAATTCGGAAAATATTTTAAATATTTTCAATCATACACAAGTCTCATTTAAATTACTAAATTAGGAAATGTTGAATAGAGTTTTGTAATATGAGAATGGGAAATTCTTTGGGAAAATAGAATATAAATACTTGTAGATTCTGTGAAAGAGGAGTCGGTGAATAAACGGTCGAAAGCTCCGAACTGCTTTCGTCATTTCTCATTATAACAAGTAGGTTTGTGTTGCATGTTCTCCTCTTTAACATACATGTAAAACGGCTATTGTATACGTAGCAAAGTGAAATGATGGAAGTTTCACCGGGGGAGTATGTTTGCCAAAAAGGTCAGTCTCGTGACAAATATGTTAATGCCTAGCTGTGCATGTGTGAAGTGTAAGCACACATTAAAATTTGTCATTTCAGTGTTGTTTGTTAGTGCTACATGACTCGTTTGTTTACACCTCTTTATTTTTTTTAAAAGAATCACAGCACAATTACTGCTCAACATAAAATGAGTAAGAGCTTTAACCACTCCGGCCTGGTTAGGGATATAAATTGATCGTCAAAATATCTTGAAAAAAGTTATTTTTCACATTCCATCTAATTCAAAAAATAAAAATAAAAAAAATTTTTTTACCGTGTAATTAATTATATATAATGAGCACCCTGACAAAATACTGTATATCAAACCAGGTAAACAGTCTGGAACACGATCGTGTCAGGTTCACCCATTTTTATTTAGATTTGCTAGTACAGTGGTAGTAATATTTATGTTTCCGTTGTATAATGTCCTGTGAATAGAAGGGGACGGACAAACAATGGAGAGCCCTAAAAATCCCTTAGAAATCCGAACGCAAAAACACAATAGTTTAGGCGTAGTAACACAATAGCTTAGGCGAGTGAACCCCATGACGTCGGTATCTGTTGTCCAGCGCGAGCACAACAATCTGCTGTAACTAAGAGTAATCAACAGCGGAATAAATCAGCCAGAAGGTCCCTATTGTTTGTTGCGGCGATAGGATTATACAGACTTGACATTTAATATGGAATATTTTTTTCCAAATCATTTTTCATCAGTTTTTTCCTATTTACCTGACTGATAAATTTAAATAAGGATTTAAATCGTGTTTTAACAACTTTAAGTTACCTCTTTGATGTCATTGTGACATCAGTTCATTAATGGAATTCGCCAGAGAAGCAAACAAAAACACATTGCCTATTCTACGTCATACGACAACCATTAAAAGAGATATTTTGGACCTCCATATTTTCCAAATTATTGTCTGTAAAGGAGTTACACGCTCCACAAAGGGCCCTCATGTCAGTGTCTAGTCACAGTAACGGCCGCTGTTACGCATGACCTCTTCTGGCTGCTACCAGCGCTCTCATGTGGCAACGGATTCCTTGGGATAGGTTTTTAAAGTTCAATCTGGAATAACGTTCCAGGCATCGGTCAAAATCTGTCCAATTTGGTCCAGTTTTGTTGTAGGACATGTAGGA